TACCCAGTCCAGTACCCAGTCCAGTACCTAGTCCAGTGCGGAGTCCAGTACCCAGTACAGTACCCAGTCCAGTACCTAGTCCAGTGCCCAGTTCAGTACCCAGTCCAGTACCCAGTCCAGTACCCAGTCCAGTACCTAGTCCAGTGCCCAGTCCAGTACCCAGTACAGTACCCAGTCCAGTACCCATTTCAGTACCCAGTCCAGTACCCAGTCCAGTGCCCAGTCCAGTACCCAGTCCAGTACCCAGTCCAGTACCTAGTCCAGTGCCCAGTTCAGTACCCAGTCCAGTACCCAGTCCAGTACTCAGTCCAGTACCCATTCCAGTACCTAGTCCAGTGCCCAGTCCAGTACCCAGTCCAGTACCCAGTCCAGTACCCAGTCCAGTACCCAGTCCAGTACCCAGTCCAGTACCTAGTCCAGTGCCCAGTCCAGTACCCAGTTCAGTACCCAGTCCAGTACCCAGTCTAGTACCCAGTCCAGTACCTAGTCCAGTGCCCAGTCCAGTACCCAGTACAGTACCCAGTCCAGTACCCAGTCCAGTAACCAGTCCAGTAACCAGTCTAGTACCCAGTCCAGTACCTAGTCCAGTGCCCAGTCCAGTACCCAGTCCAGTACCCAGTCCTGTACCCAGTCCAGTGTACGAGCCAGCCGGGCTGTGGCTCGTACATCGATCTACGTGTGGCCAGCAGTAACAACCTGGTTGATAAGGCCCTGATCCACCGCCAGACCTGGTCACGGACCGGGCCTCGGGGGCGTTGACCCCTGAAACCGCCCCCCCCAAGTAACGGCAGGACACTGAAGTGAGACATAAGTCAGTGTTACCTGGAAACCGCCAAGAAGCTATTTAATACATAATAATATACTTAATTATGTAAATTATCGTAATGTAGAGATTCTCAGCCTATCGTAGTTTATTATTGTCTTAGTGTAGTAAATAGTCTATTATCTATCGTAGTTTATTACTGTCTTAGTGAAGTAAATAGTCTATTATCTATCGTAGTTTATTGTCTTATTGTAGTAAATAGTCTATTATCTATCGTAGTTTATTGTCTTATTGTAGTAAATAGTCTATTATCTATCGTAGTTTATTGTCTTAGTGTAGTAAATAGTATATTATCTATCGAAGTTTATTATTGTCTTAGTGTAGTAAATAGTCTATTATCTATCGTAGTTTATTATTGTCTTAGTGTAGTAAATAGTCTATTATCTATCGTAGTTTATTACTGTCTTTGGGTAGTAAATAGTCTATTATCTATCGTAGTTTATTACTGTCTTAGTGTAGTAAATAGTCTATTATCTATCGTAGTTTATTATTGTCTTAGTGTAGTAAATAGTCTATTATCTATCGAAGTTTATTATTGTCTTAGTGTAGTAAATAGTCTATTATCTATCGTAGTTTATTATTGTCTTAGTGAAGTAAATAGTATATTATCTATCGTAGTTTAACACTGTCTTAGTGTAGTAAATAGTCTATTATCTATCGTAGTTTATTACTGTCTTAGTGAAGTAAATAGTCTATTATCTATCGTAGTTTATTACTGTCTTAGGATAGTAAATAGTCTACTGTCTATCGTAGTTTATTACTGTCTTAGTGTAGTAAATAGTCTATTGTCTATCGTAGTTTATTACTGTCTTAGGATAGTAAATAGTCTACTGTCTATCGTAGTTTATTACTGTCTTAGGGTAGTAAATAGTCTATTATCTATCGTACTTTATTACTGTCTTAGGATAGTAAATAGTCCATTATCTATCGTAGTTTATTACTGTCTTAGGATAGTAAATAGTCTACTGTCTATCGTAGTTTATTACTGTCTTAGTGTAGTAAATAGTCTATTGTCTATCGTAGTTTATTACTGTCTTAGGATAGTAAATAGTCTACTGTCTATCGTAGTTTATTACTGTCTTAGGGTAGTAAATAGTCTATTATCTATCGTACTTTATTACTGTCTTAGTGTAGTAAATAGTCTATTATCTATCGTAGTTTATTACTGTCTTAGTGTAGTAAATAGTCTATTATCTATCGTAGTTTATTACTGTCTTAGTTTGATACCGTCTTAATGTAATTGATAGTTTAAAGTCTATTGTATATTGCTGCTATAACAGGGTAATTAAGTTGCCATTAATAAGATCTTAGACTTGACATAAAAATATATGAATATAGATCTTGGCCAAGTTAGCCAGGAACAGACACATGATCTTGGCCAAGTTAGCCAGGAACAGACACATGATCTTGGCCAAGTTAGCCAGGAACAGACACATGATCTTGGCCAAGTTAGCCAGGAACAGACACATGATCTTGGCCAAGTTAGCCAGGTACAGACACATGAACTTGACCAAGTTAGCCAGGTACAGACACATGAACTTGGCCAAGTTAGTCAGGTACAGACACATGAAGTTGACCAAGTTAGTCAGGTACAGACACATGAACTTGACCAAGTTAGTTCAGGTACAGACACATGAACTTGACCAAGTTAGCCAGGTACAGACACATGAACTTGACCAAGTTAGTCAGGTACAGACACATGAACTTGACCAAGTTAGCCAGGTACAGACACATGAACTTGACCAAGTTAGCCAGGTACAGACACATGAACTTGACCAAGTTAGTCAGGTACAGACACATGAACTTGACCAAGTTAGCCAGGTACAGACACATGAACTTGACCAAGTTAGTCAGGTACAGACACATGAACTTGGCCAAGTTAGCAAGGTACAGACACATGAACTTGACCAAGTTAGCAAGGTACAGACACATGAACTTGGCCAAGTTAGCCAGGTACAGACACATGAACTTGGCCAAGTTAGCAAGGTACAGACACATGAACTTGGCCAAGTTAGCCAGGTACAGACACATGAACTTGACCAAGTTAGCAAGGTACAGACACATGAACTTGACCAAGTTAGCCAGGTACAGACACATGAACTTGACCAAGTTAGTCAGGTACAGACACATGAACTTGGCCAAGTTAGCAAGGTACAGACACATGAACTTGGTCAAGTTAGCCAGGTACAGACACATGAACTTGACCAAGTTAGCCAGGTACAGACACATGAACTTGACCAAGTTAGCAAGGTACAGACACATGAACTTGGTCAAGTTAGCCAGGTAAATACACATGAACTTGGACAAGTTAGCCAGGTACAGACACATGAACTTGGCCAAGTTAGCCAGGTACAGACACATGAACTTGACCAAGTTAGTCAGGTACAGACACACGAACTTGACCAAGTTAGCAAGGTACAGACACATGAACTTGGCCAAGTTAGCAAGGTACAGACACATGAACTTGACCAAGTTAGTCAGGTACAGACACATGAACTTGACCAAGTTAGTCAGGTACAGACACATGAACTTGACCAAGTTAGCCAGGTACAGACACATGAACTTGACCAAGTTAGCCAGGTACAGACACATGAACTTGACCAAGTTAGCAAGGTACAGACACATGAACTTGACCAAGTTAGCAAGGTACAGACACATGAACTTGACCAAGTTAGCAAGGTACAGACACATGAACTTGACCAAGTTAGCAAGGTACAGACACATGAACTTGACCAAGTTAGCAAGGTACAGACACATGAACTTGACCAAGTTAGCAAGGTACAGACACATGAACTTGACCAAGTTAGCCAGGTACAGACACATGAACTTGACCAAGTTAGCCAGGTACAGACACATGAACTTGACCAAGTTAGTCAGGTACAGACACATGAACTTGACCAAGTTAGCCAGGTACAGACACATGAACTTGACCAAGTTAGCCAGGTACAGACACATGAACTTGACCAAGTTAGCCAGGTACAGACACATGAACTTGACCAAGTTAGCAAGGTACAGACACATGAACTTGACCAAGTTAGCAAGGTACAGACACATGAACTTGACCAAGTTAGCCAGGTACAGACACATGAACTTGACCAAGTTAGCCAGGTACAGACACATGAACTTGACCAAGTTAGTCAGGTACAGACACATGAACTTGACCAAGTTAGCAAGGTACAGACACATGAACTTGACCAAGTTAGTCAGGTACAGACACATGAACTTGACCAAATTAGCCAGGTACAGACACATGAACTTGACCAAGTTAGTCAGGTACAGACACATGAACTTGACCAAGTTAGCCAGGTACAGACACATGAACTTGACCAAGTTAGTCAGGTACAGACACATGAACTTGACCAAGTTAGCAAGGTACAGACACATGATCTTGACCAAGTTAGCCAGGTACAGACACACGTAGCACAGATCCTCAAGTGTCTGTGGGCCAGAATAATGTATTTATTCCATTATATTGGTAACTAAAGTTTATTCTTCTCTTACGAAATATTTCGTAAATCCGCCGGATTACATTTTACGTGCAAATCTTAAAGTTTTAATGTGGAGTAAGTTCAATGAAATACGTTAATCAGTTTATTAACATTGAACACTTGTTGATTGGCGGCTGGAACACAGGTGTACATTCAACTGGCAGCATCTCTTGTGTCTGCTGATGAGGACCTCAACTGGAGGTCGAAATATACAGCAAATTGTCTTCACACACACACACACACACACACATATGCGTGAGCGTGTTTGATAGGAGTGAATGGAGACAAATGGTTTTTAATACTTGACGTGCTGTTGGAGTGTGAGCAAAGTAACATTTATGAAGGGGTTCAGGGAAACCGGCAGGCCGGACTTGAGTCCTGGAGATGGGAAGTACAGTGCCTGCACTCTGAAGGAGGGGTGTTAATGTTGCAGTTTAAAAACTGTAGTGTAAAGCACCCTTCTGGCAAGACAGTGATGGAGTGAATGATGGTGAAAGTTTTTCTTTTTCGGGCCACCCTGCCTTGGTGGGAATCGGCCAGTGTGATAATAATAATAATAATAATAATATATATATATATATATATATATAATATATATATATATATATATATATATATATATATATATATATATATATATATATATAACATTATGTACTCGAGCCTGACGTAAGTACTCTGTATTTCAGGAGAACACGGTTGTCCTCGCGACTAATGGAGAAGTACGAGAAGTTAAGTAAGATCGGCGAGGGTTCCTACGGAGTCGTCTACAAGTGTCGTAACCGTGAGACCGGAAGTCTGGTGGCCATTAAGAAGTTCGTCGAGTCTGAAGATGATCCACTTATCAAGAAGATTGCTCTGAGGGAAATACGGATGTTGAAGGTGAGTACACACACACACACACACACACACACACACACACACACACACACACGGAATAGACAAGGTGGACAGAGACAGGATGTACCAGAGATGGGACACAGAAACAAGGGGTCATAATTGGAAACTGAAGACTCAGATGAGTCAAAGAGATGTTTGGAAATATTTCTTCAGTCATAGAGTTGTTAGGAAGTGGAATAGTCTGGCAAGCGATGTAGTGGAGGAAGGAACTATACATAGTTTTAAGACGAGGTATGATAAAGCTCATGGAGCAGAGGGAGAGAGGACCTAGTAGCGGTCGGTGAAGAGGCGAGACCAGGAGCTGAGTCTCGACCCCTGCAACCACAATTAGGTGAGTACACACACACACACACACACACACACACACACACGCATAGATGAGATGGGAGAAAGAGACTACATAGTAGGTACACTTCAGTCTGGGGAACAGAAGGTGGTCATTGCAGTGATGTATAATCCACCACAGAACTGCAGGAGGCCAAGAGAGGAATATGAAGAGAGCAACAGAGCAATGGTGGACACACTTGCTGAGGTGGCAAGAAGAGCTCACTCCAGCAGAGCAAAGTTGCTGGTTATGGGGGGTTTCAACCACAGTTAGATTGACCTGGAGCCACATGGGGGTCCCGAAACATGGAGAGCCAAGATGATGGACGTGGTGCTGGAAAACCTCATGCACCAACATGTTAAGGACACTACCAGAGTGAGAGGGGAGGATGAACCAGCAAGATTGGACCTTTTGTTCACCCTGGGCAGTTCACACATTGAGGACATCATGTATGAGAGTCCCCTAGGAGCTAGCGACCACGTGGGTCTGTGCTTTGAATATATAGTAGAGCTGCAAGTGGAGAGAGTAACAGGAGTTGAATGGGAAAAGCCTGGCTATAAAAGAGGGGACTACATAGGGTTGAGGAACTTCCTGCAGGAGGTCCCATGGGACAGAGAACTGGCAGGAAAGCCAGTAAATGAAATTATGGAATATGTAACAACAAAATGCAAGGAGGCAGTGGAAAGGTTTATTCCCAAGGGCAACAGAAACAACGGGAAGACCAGAACGAGCCCCTGGTTTATCCGACGGTGTAAGGAGGCAAAAACAAAGTGCAATAGAGAATGGAAAAAGTACAGAATGCAGAGAACACGCGAAAATAGGGAGATCAGTCGCAGAGCCAGGAACGAGTATGCACAGGTAAGGAGGGAGGCCCAGCGACGGTATGAAAATGACATATCATCTAAAATCAAGACTGACCCGAAACTGTTGTATAGCCACATCAGGAGGGAGACAACAGTCAAAGACCAGGTGATCAGATTAAGGGCAGAAGGGGGAGAACTCACAAGAAATGACCAGGAGGTATGTGAGGAGCTAAACAGGAGATTTAAGGAAGTTTTTACAGTAGAGACATGAAGGGCTGTGGGAAGTCAGTACAGAATGGAACATCAAGAGGGAATATACCACCAAGTGATGGATGACATACGAACAACCGAGGAGGAGGTGAAGAAGCTGCTAAGTGACCTTGATACCTCAAAGGCGATGGGACCGGACAGCATCTCCCCATGGGTCCTTAGAGAAGGAGCAGAGATGCTGTGCGTGCCTCTAACCACAATCTTCAACACATCCCTTGAAACTGGGCAACTACCTGAGAAATGGAAGACAGCAAATGTAGTCCCCATATTTAAGAAAGGAAACAGAAACGAGGCGCTAAACTACAGACCTGTGTCTCTGACATGTATTGTGTGCAAAGTCATGGAGAAGATTATCAGGAGGAGAGTGGTCGAACACCTGGAACGGAACAAGATTATATATGAAAACAAGCATGGATTCATGGAAGGCAAATCTTGTATCACAAACCTCCTGGAGTTTTATGACAAGGTAACAGAAGTAAGACACGAGAGAGAGAGGGGTGGGTTGATTGCGTTTTCCTAGACTGCAGGAAGGCCTTTGACACAGTTCCCCACAAGAGATTAGTGCAGAAGCTGGAGGATCAGGCGCATGTAACAGGAAGGGCACTGCAGTGGATCAGGGAATACCTGACAGGGAGGCAGCAACGAGTCATGGTACGTGAAGATGTATCACAGCGGGCGCCTGTGAAGAGCGGGGTCCCACAGGGGTCAGTTCTAGGGCCAGTGCTATTTTTGATATATGCGAACGACATGATGGAAGGAATAGACTCTGAAGTGTCCCTATTCGCAGATGATGTGAAGTTGATGAGAAGAATTAAATCGGATGAGGATGAGGCAGGACTGCAAAGAGACCTGGACAGGCTGGACATGTGGTCCAGAAACTGGCTTCTCGAATTCAATCCTGCCAAATGCAAAGTCATGAAGATTGGGGAGGGGCAAAGAAGACCGCAGACAGAGTATAGGCTAGGTGGACATAGACTACAGACCTCACTCAGGGAGAAAGACCTCGGGGTGACCATAACACCGAGCACGTCACCGGAGGCACACATCAACCAAATAACTGCTGCAGCATACGGGCGCCTGGCAAACCTGAGAATAGCGTTCCGATACCTAAATAAGGAATCGTTCAAGACACTGTACACTGTGTATGTTAGGCCCATACTGGAGTATGCAGCACCAGTCTGGAACCCACACCTGGTCAAGCACGTCAAGAAGTTAGAGAAAGTACAGAGGTTTGCAACAAGGCTAGTCCCAGAGCTCAGGGGAATGTCGTACGAGGAAAGGTTGAGGGAAATCTGACTGACGACACTGGAGGACAGAAGGGTCAGGGGAGACATGATAACGACATACAAGATACTGAGGGGAATAGGCAAGGTGGACAGAGATAGGATGTTCCAGAGAGGGGACACAGAAACAAGGGGTCACAACTGGAAGCTGAAGACTCAGACGAGTCACAGGGACGTTAGGAAGCATTTCTTCAGTCATAGAGTCGTCAGGAAGTGGAATAGCCTAGCAAGTGAAGTAGTGGAGGCAGGAACCATACATAGTTTTAAGAAGAGGTATGACAAAGCTCAGGAAGCAGAGAGAGAGAGGACCCAGTAGCGATCAGTGAAGAGGCGGGGCCAGGAGCTGAGTCTCGACCCCTGCAACCACAATTAGGTGAGTACAATTAGGTGAATACACACACACATACACACACACACACACACACACACACACACACACACACACACACACACACACACACACACACACACACACACACAAAATCTCAAGAAAACAAGAGAGTTGAAAGTCAAAAAACAGATTCTTTACACTGTATTTCACGAAGCTGTAAACCCAGGAGGGCCGTCCATAGCAAGAAGTGGTGAAGACTCGATTCTCCGTCCTCTAATCACTAAGCAATCAGGCTGCTGGTGATCGCCCTGAAATGGGACCAAGACAATCATAAATTCCGGGAAGACAGAGACTAACTGTTCAGGACGATAAATCTGGCTTAACCTTACGTAATGAGGGTATTTTCTGGCTTCAGGGAAGGTGCAATCATGCCCCGGGGGGCAGGAGGGACAGGGTATGTGGCATGCAACCTCAACCACATCAAAGAGATGCCAAGAAAGAGAAAATATTGAAAGATTTGTGGTATGGGAGAGTTACCCTCTCAAAGGCTATCTCTCTCTCTGTCTCTCTCTCTGTCTCTCTCTCTCTCTTTAATATATATATATATATATATATATATATATATATATATATATATATATATATATATATATACGGGTGGAGAATTTGAATGATAGTTCTAGGCCTTTCATGTTGCATTATCAGGAGCTTGCAGAAAAGACGGGCAAGTCCAAGCAAATTCGTGCAGGTAAACTATTCACCATTCAATGATGAATTATACAGTTGTATATACTGGTTTCAATAATCATATAATAATTATAGTCACATACACTGGTTGTAAATTACAGAGATATAACTCACTATAATTCAACTCAAACACATTCCCACTTAGGTAATTTAGTGTTGAAATATGTTAGTTGTCTGAGAGTTGCAGATAACTGTCTTGCCAGGAGTGTTGAGTCATCTTCCTTACCTTTGCAAGCACCTATCAACGTGCGAGAATAATGCATTTCGACACGGAGATGAGAGAGGGATAAATCTGTATATTTCGACCTTTACTGAGGTCCTCTCCAGCAGATAGAACTCGTAATTTGAACTGTACAGATTTTTCTCTTCTCTGTGCTCCTGTCTACGTGATTTTTTTTTTTTTACCCGTGCTGTTATATTCACGGACTGTCTCTTGGTTTCAGCAATTGCATCACCCAAACCTGATCAACTTGATAGAGGTCTTCAGAAGGAAACGGAAGCTGCATCTGGTGTTTGAGTTCTGTGATCGTACTGTTCTTAATGAGCTGGAGAGTAATCCAAAGGGGTGAGTGACGATGCTTTAACTGAAGAATGAGACTCTTGTCTGTTTTCTAAATCATTTTACATCTCGATAAAGAATTAGACACATGTGCAACATCTGGGTTTCTTTATTTGTTGACGTTTCGCCATCCAGTGGCTTTATCAATACAATACAAGGACATCAGGTTATCAACTGAGGTTGAAAGCTGAGGTTATCAGTCCCTCAGCTGAGGGACTGATAACCTCAGTTGTGGGTATGATCTCTTGTTAAGGTACTGCTGTTGCTGCCACCAGTCCAGCTCACCATCACGGGGAGTAACTGTCGTCTTGAAAACCTGTAAACTCATCTCTCAAATTATAGAACACTGAGAGACAGGTCACACATCAGCCAGACTCTCGAGAGCAAACTCTACATGATATTTCGGTCCCTACTGGACCATTATCAAGTCCCAACTGACTATCCTTGAGTAATTAAGAAACAATATTGTAATGTTGGTAGGCCAGCAGGCCTACAGTAATAGATAAGACACATTCAACATTACAGTACCTTTATGTGACACTTGTGTCTTATTCATGTATGATTTGGAAAATAAGCAAATTGATGAGTGAGACAAGTGGAATACTCGACTGTAATGCATATTTTTAATAGGCCTACTGCAATCTGTATCCCCCCCCAGGCTGCCAGACGAGAAGGTGAAGAAGATAATCTACCAGCTGGTCCAAGCTATCGGCTACTGTCACAAGCATAATTGTATTCACAGAGACGTCAAGCCAGAGAACATCTTACTTACTAAGTCTGGCGTTGTTAAGCTCTGTGATTTCGGCTTCGCCAGGATGCTGAGTAAGTCATAGTGAAGCTTCAGAGGTGTGGAGAAGCTGACGCAACAATTTGTGTAGAAGACTGAGTTACTTGTGCTACGTGTGGGAATCTTTGATGAGGAAAACGTCGCCCGCCAGTGGCTTCTTCAGTCAAATACAGAGAAGAACGGTGGAAAATGAGGAGGAGTTTGAGGTAATCAATCCCTCAGTCTGGAATCGATAGTGTTTAGTCTTGATGGAGTGAACACATCGACTCCAGGCTCAGGGATTCATTACCTCGAACTCCTCCTCCTTTTCCACCGTTCTTCTCTGTATTGGACTGAAGAAGTCACTGGCGGGCGAAACGTTTCCTCAATAAAGCTTCCCAAATGTTGCACAAATGACTCAGTCTTCAACTTGTCGTTTTTCTAAACCATTTATCACACCACTTACGTAGCTTCATCTCGAGACGTTTAGCCCACACAACAAGTTTGATCCACCTTAATAACAGAGACCTTAGACGGAAAGTAAGACAGTTGAAGAAACGTTTTTCTGACCAACAAATGCACGTTTTTCACACAATGCTGCGTTACCTATTGAGTTTATATATGAGGGCCCCGCTTACACAGCAGGTTAGGTTCCAGGCTACTGCTGTACAGGAGGGCCCCGCTTATACAGCAGGTTAGGTTCCAGGCTACTGCTGTGCAGGAGGGCCCCTCTTATACAGCAGGTTAGGTTCCAGGCTACTGCTGTGCAGGAGGGCCCCTCTTATACAGCAGGTTAGGTTCCAGGCTACTTTAGGTTCAAGCCACTTTAGTCCACAATACATAAAAATTATGGGCCTACTGTAAGAGAAGGGGTTGCGAAGGGGCCCTCCCCCCCATAACACTTCAAGCTTCAGGGCCCCCAGAAATGCAAGTCCGCCACTGTGTCTTCGACAGGTCCAGGAGACAACTTGACAGACTACGTGGCCACAAGATGGTACCGTGCCCCTGAGTTGCTGGTGGGAGATACCCAGTACGGTGCCCCGGTGGATGTGTGGGCCATTGGTTGCGTTTTGGCCGAGCTGGCCAAGGGTGAGGCTCTCTGGCCCGGCAAGTCTGATGTAGATCAACTCTACCTAATCAGAAAATCTCTAGGTAACTGTAATTTACATATACGTTACTACGCAAAACAACTACGGGGGGAGTTGAATGATATCTCTAGGCCTTTCGTGTTGCAATCAACACATCAGGAGCTTGCAATGTTGCTTGGACATCCTCGTCTTTTCTGCAGCATTGCAAGCTCCTGATGATGTGATGATTGTAACACGAGAGGCCTAGAGCTATCATTCAACTCCCCCAGTGGCTGTTTTACATATTATATCGCTTTTTTATGCATATGTTACTGTGTATGATACTTTGTGTAACTATGTGTAAGTGTACCTAAATACACTTATTCACGTTTCGCCCACACTGGGTTTTATCAAGTCACAGACAGATCTGTTTGATAAATAAAGTTGGTAGAATTACCGACAATATGTAAAGTAAAAGGACACAAGAGCAACTAATGTGACATTTAATTGTGGCAACGTTTCGCTCTCCAGGAGCTTTATCAAGCCATTACAAACAATACATGGACACAGAGGGTATATAAAGGCTCAGAGTGAAGTGCGATACTAGTGGTAGTAGTAGTAGTAGTAGTAGTAGTAGTAGTGGTAGTAGTAGTGGTAGTAGTAGTGGTAGTGGTAGTAGTAGTAGTAGTGGTAGTGGTAGTAGTAGTAGTAGTGGTAGTAGTAGTAGTAGTAGTAGTGGTGGTGGTAGTGGTAGTAGTAGTAGTAGTAGTGGTAGTAGTAGTAGTAGTAGTAGTAGTAGTGGTGGTAGTGGTAGTAGTAGTAGTAGTAGTAGTAGTGGTGGTAGTGGTAGTAGTAGTAGTAGTAGTAGTAGTAGTAGTAGTAGTAGTGACAAAAGTAATACAATATGGAAGAGCAATTAATTCGTACATGAGTAAATGGATATAAAAGCTATTGCTCTACCATATTGAATTACTTTTGTCACTACTACCACTACTACTACCACTACCACTACTACTACCACTACTACTACTACCACTACTACTACTACTACTACCACTACTATTACCACTACCACTACTACTACCACTACTACCACTACCACTACTACTACCACTACTACTACTACCACTACTACTACTACCACTACTACTACTACTACTACCACTACTACCACTACCACTACTACTACTACCACTACCACTACTACCACTACTACTACTACCACTACTACCACTACTACTACTACTACTACTACCACCACTACTACTACCACTACTACTACTACTACCACTACTACCACTATTACTACTACTACTACTACTACTACTACCACCATTACTACTACTACTACTACTACTACTACTACTACTACCACTAGTATCGCACTTCACTCTGAGCCTTTATATACCCTCTGTGTCCATGTATTGTTTGTAATGGCTTGATAAAGCTCCTGGAGAGCGAAACGTTGCCACAATTAAATGTCACATTAGTTGCACTTGTGTCCTTTTACTTTACACTGTTTGATAAAGTTCACTGTGTGGGCGAAACGTTGTCAATAAAGAGTCACATTGTTCAGCATTTGTGTCCATTTTTTTCCATCATGTTGGTATTTTATACCATTAATGTTCATCGGGTAAATGTTGTATGATGAATAATTGTCATGTTGATGAATAATGATGAGTGAAAGTTATTAACCAGCACTTTGTTGATGAATTTTGTAAGATGTTTCGGTCCATCCTGAACCATCGTTAAGATGGACCGTCTGCTCCATGCAAGGCTAATTCTCTCTCTCTCTCTCTCACACATTTTCGCTCATAACATGAAAATAGTGGATAGCTGGTATAGGCCTACTGGCCCATGCTAGGCAGGTCGTACTCACAGACATTCCTACTAACATGAAGAGTTACCACAGTGAAGGAAATGGAAGTATATCAACCAGGCTGTTACTGCTGGCCGCACGCAAGCTGACGTACGAACCACAGCCTGGTTGGTCAGGTACTGACTTTGTGTTTATATATTTAAGCTCAGCAATTATATTGGTGTTTCCCGCCAGTAATATGTCTGATGGAAGATTGTGTCAACAGGTGACCTCCTGCCTGACCACATGCGCATATTTAAGGACAATGAATTTTTCCGCGGCTTGAACATACCAGAACCTGACACTGTGGAGTCTATAGAGAGCAAGATGCCCAAATCTTTCCCTCGAGAAGGACTTGACTTTCTTAAGGTAATGTTGTTGTTGTCTCAGGTTAATCTCATGACTTTCTGTACGTTATTATCATTGGTTTTCAAGTATTTATTTCTAGGTAAGACATGTTAATACAAGATTCCTTTACTAGGCCTACTGGCCTATGCTAGGCAGGTCCTGAATTTGTTAGAGATGGGAAGAAGGTTTGGTTCTGTCAGGAGTTTTATGAAGAATAACGATTCTCTAGTTATACATGGTCATAATCGTGAAGAAATTACAAGTGGTAAGTCATTCACACGTCCGGGTGTGGACCTGTGAACGACTCGTTACTTTGTACTTTGTTAATGATTATGTATAGACGTGTAGATGGTTCATTACCTTCGTAACTTTGTAATTGTGACCAGATCTACCTGGTATTCATTACCTTTGTAACTTGGTCATAATTGTGACCAGATCTACCTGGTATTCATTACCTTTGTAACTTGGTCATAATTGTGACCAGATCTACCTGGAATTCATTACCTTTGTAACTTGGTCATAATTGTGACCAGATCTACTTGGAATTCATTACCTTTGTAACTTGGTCATAATTGTGACCAGATCTACCTGGAATTCATTACCTTCGTAACTTGGTCATAATTGTGACCAGATCTACCTGGAATTCATTACCTTTGTAACTTGGTCATAATTGTGACCAGATCTACCTGGTATTCATTACCTTTGTAACCTGTTCACCTCTCAAAAGTTTGTGGCCCAGTCCCTGACACTGTAGAAAGAGTTTTATTTATGCTATACACATTCTAGACATCCTAATCACACTTCCTTTTAAGTATACCTAAAGTGTACAGGTGAATTGTGTCCTTATTAACCCACGTGCACTCTACAGTACTTAAATATAACAAATTCACAAAAATAATATAAATGTTAATATCTGTTAAGGGACACAGTGAGTGTCAGAGATGTGATTGTTTCAGAAATGTGTCGATCGCGACCCAGCCAAGAGATGGACGTGTGACCAGCTGCTGGGGCATGATTACTTCAAGGGGTTCACCTATAAGATACCAGAGGAAGACCAGCTGGAACACGACAGATTGAAGGTTGTTTCAGTGATTTAAACCGTGTTTTAATATTAAGCACTTGATTTTTTTTTATCGATCAAACGAAAAATAATTTCAATAAAATGTTAGACAACTCCAGCCTTGCTGGAGATGATTTTGAGAGGCTGGATGACCAATGTAAACATTGTACGTGGTGCTGACAGCGCCACCTGTACGTGATGCTGACAGCGTCACCTCATTAATACTTCTCCAGTACCTGCATTTAAATTTGTTGACGTGTGATGGTGATGTTACTGAATGTTGACTAATATTGCTAATGACTTGGTGATGTTGTGAGTTATGTTGTCATCAGGGAAAATGATGAGTTGGGATTGATTTTTGTTCATATTGCGCCGAGTACATGGAACTCTTCTCTCTCACTCCGAGGAAATGTAAAATAATTTATTACTGCCATGGAACGCCTTCCACCAGACCAAAAGAATGAAAAAAAATAATGAATAACTTGGGGAGGAATAAGATAATTTTCTGAAGATTTTAATTAAAATAAAATAAAATTGGCCGCTGTGGTTCCAGTATGATGTTGAGACAGGAGTATTTTATGTCCAGGATGGTCTTCTGTGATGTTTTTAAAAGAAAAAAGAAAAACTTATCCTGGGTGGCGGTGTTCGTCTGACGTTCTGGAAATCCTGTCAGTACCTGGTGGCAGTACCACACTTCAGATATCAAAGATGAGGATAAGATAAAATAAGATAAGATAAGATTTTGTTCGGATTTTTAACCCCGGAGGGTTAGCCACCCAGGATAACCCAAGAAAGTCAGTGCGTCATCGAGGACTGTCTAACTTATTTCCATTGGGGTCCTTAATCTTGTCCCCCAGGATGCGACCCACACCAGTCGACTAACACCCAGGTACCTATTTGCTGCTAGGTGAACAGGACAACAGGTGTAAGGAAACGTGTCGAAATGTTTCCACTCGCCGGGAATCGAACCCGGGCCCTCCGTGTGTGAACCGGGAGCTTTAGCCACCAGGCCACCAGGCCTGGTGGCCTGGTGTCCCTTGACAGGGATCTTGCTCCAATAACTAGCCTCTACCCTGGTTGACCAGGCCAGCAGCAGAGCTGATAATACAGAATTAAAACTGGTTACGTGAGGGTTAGCAAGTATAACATTGAACAAAGACAAAGGGTGGTATTCGACTTCAGTATCATTACTGGTAACCAGGAAATCAGTAACACAATAGAAATACTCCTGGTAGATCACATTACCTGATCAGAGGACTGGAGGTGAAGTAATTCTCCAGACTTCAACCCACACCAGGTAAGGTTAATACTACCAGGAGTAGAAATTAAAGCAAATCAGACCCGAGGAACTGAAGTTTAACCTCAGCCCGCTAGATGGTAGTGCTGGCGGTAACACGCTAATGGTTCCCGGGCGTCTGAACAACTATAACCCCCACTTTTTAAGGGCTTTTCCCCTCACAATCACTGAGATGAGTTAGGAATATTATATAATTCTCATATTTGTCAGTAGTTCAGGGATGATTGCCCCAGCAACCCGGTCTAAGACCCGGCTTCCTAGATTGTTGACCTAAGGTATCACGTGGATAAAAAAAGACACATGTACAATACTTCAGTATATTTGTTGCCGAAACGTTATGCCAACACAACAGACTTCTTCACTCCACTACAGGAGAATGTATCACTAGAGGCAGTAGAAGTCATCAGTCCATTATCCTTGACCACATTTTATTAAGGCTGAGGGACTGATCACCCTCTATTAAGGCTAAAGGACTGATCACCCTCTATTAAGGCTAAAGGACTGATCACCCTTTATTAAGGCTAAAGGTCTGATCATCCTCTATTAAGGCTGAGGGACTGGACTCTTATTAAATTTGAGGGACTGATCAGCTCAGAATTAAGTCTTCATTTCCACTGTCTCCAGTGATATAGTCTCCTTTATTCGACTGAAGATGCCTGTCATGCAGGCGAAACGTTTCGACAATAACAATACCTAAGTGTATCTAAAGTGTCTTATTCACCAACTTATCAGTATTGGATACCATTAATAAGATAAGAACATAAGAACATAAGAAAGAAAGAACACTGCAACAGGCCTACTGACCCATGCGGAGCAGGTCCATGTCCCCCCTGGATTAGACCCATGACCCCCCCACCCGGATTAGCCCAATGACCCACCCAGTCTGATCATCTCCACTCAAGGATGGAGCACTGCACCAGACCCAGCAGCACAAGCTAGTCAGGTCCAACTCACACCCACCCACACCCACTCATGTATTTATCCAACCTATTTTTAAAACTACACTGTACTCGGGAGTTGTTCCACTCATCCACAACTCTATTACCAAACCAGTGATTTCCTATATCCTTTTTGAATCTGAATTTTTCCAACTTGAAACCATTGCTGCGAGTCCTGTCTTGGATGGAATTTTTCAGCACGCTATTTACATCCCCTTTATTTATTCCTGTTTTCCATTTATACACCTCGATCATATCCCCCCCCTAATTCTACGCCTTTCGAGAGAGTGCAGATTCAGGGCCCTCAGTCTATCCTCATAGGGAAGATTTCTGATACATGGGATCATCTTTGTCATCCTCCTCTGTACGTTTTCCAGAGCATTTATATCCATTCTGTAATACGGTGACCAGAACTGAGCAGCATAGTCTAAATGTTTCTTCTCTTCCAGAACCCAAGTGTCTCCGGTTCCATGTTACTTCCTCAACTGGCCAGCACTCCAGTGGGTGGAGGTTCAGTGTCCACCTCCTCCTCACCTGAAATCCGACAGCCAGTTCACCGTGGATCCCGCAACTTTGACCACCTGCCCACCATCTGACAAAACGGCCTTGGGATACACCGGCCACCTACCGTGTTACC